ACATTTAAGGTAGACGTGATCATATACAATTATGAAGACAAATTTGATCACTGATGGTCACAATTTTTCTCTTCCCTCTATCAAATCCAAGGTCCAAAATTTTTCCAATTATTTAGTTTGACCTAAATGCACCCTTTTAAGCTTTATGACCGTCTACCTTAGTGAATCCATGGGATTTTGACTAGTTAGCTAATTACGAGCTTGACTTTTAACGATTGGATTATACACTAACATCGCCATCATTAAATCTGCAACCACAAACATCGCCACATTATATGCTGCCGAACATCAACATAAATTAAATATTTTTTCCCCATAAATTAGGGATTCCAATTTCCAAAATGGGATCGCAATCGATTTCAGATGAACCATTGATTTGTTGAATAAGAAATACAAACAAATATATGGATCATCTGATACATACAGCACAAAGTGTATATATTTTTTCATGTCTATGCTTCTTCTGGACTATCTTGCAAGAAAACCTGTAAAAATCTATGGTGAATGCTACCTTTTACCGGGCATTACTTATATTTGATTACTTTGTCGGAAATTTTGTCTTCCGGATTTTTGGAAAACATCGATGACAGTAGCTTGCTTTACTGGAGACTACCACAACGAGATCAAATATCGATCCACGGTGAGAATCCTCGTTGGTTGATCTACCAATGAATGTGAGAGGGAAATGCGATGGATGGCTTCTGGTTATGGTGGTCAGATGGTTCGGTAGAGAAAGAGAGATTGAAGAGAGATGTAGAGTGAGAGATTGGAGAGAAGGGATCAACTGATTAGAGAGAGAGAGAGAGAGAGAGGTAGAGTTAGGGTAGAAGGATAATACTGCCCGTAAAAGGGCGTTGCTCTCGCATGAGGTGGGTCCCACCTTATAAAAAAAAAATCCCTCCAAATGTTAAACACTCACCCTCATCTCACATTTGCTCTGGCAAGCCTGGTAGAGTAGCTCGGTCCCAGACAGGGCTTAAATACTGTGCTTAAGAGATCAAATTCGTGTGT